ATTCCTTCTCTTCTTCTAGGCTGGGCAAGAGGATCGTTTGGTTGAGGGGGGGGGGAGGAAAAGAGTCTTCTGCCCCTCTGAACCCCCCCCCCAAATAATGTCAGTCCGTTGAGGCTTTGAAAGCAATTAAGCAAAACAGGCCACTCCCACCAATCCAAGCTGGGGCAGCTACCGGATATAAAGCGTAAAGCAAATCGCACTCCTCACTAGCCCTGATCATGTTACCTAGTTGGGTCACGAAAGGTCTGCAAGAAAAGAACCAAGCGCAGAGGGCACTGAGGACTCCGACTCAATCTACAGATATTCTCCTCTGTTGGAATCTATTGTCTTTTGAATGCCTGCCCCAGGACTACAGACCCCATCCTCATCAGCTGACCCTGAGGCTTCTCCATTTCCCACAAGGTTCCCCCCTCCCCCAGTCTGGGACAACCGGATCATGACAAGAATCTTCTCCTTCCGCCCGCCTGAACCCACACGAAACGTCAGTCTCATCTGAGGCCTTGAAAACAATAAAACATACCCCTCTCTGGGGATCCTGAAGCATTTCTCCACCCCCTGAGAGTCAAGAAACCAAACACAGACACACAGTCGTTGCCAACACTCCCTGGGACACCACACAACTCCAGACCACACCCAGGGGCCTTTCAGTCACCCCGCATGGACCTCCCCAGAGGAACGTTTCCAGTCATCTTTGCAGCCCTTCACAACAATTTTCTGGTTTTTCCACACCCTGAAAAGTTCAGGATTCTCAAACTGGTCCCTCTCCTTGCTGACCCCTCAATCCAAACCAGTTCAGAAATTGGGTCTCAGTCCAAATCCTTCAGGGGGCCCCTCCCGATCCCCAATTGAGGGAGTGGCCCCTTGGAGCCCCCTCTTCTCCTCCTCTCTTATCAAACAGTCCACCCAAGGAGGGGCCCTTCTAGATGGAGCCTCTGCAGTGCAGCCCTCAATTCCACCCTCCCCAACTTTGGGAGAAGCCTCTGAACTGGGGTGGGGGGGGCAGGAATCAGAGGCCCTGAACATCCCTTTCATAGAGGGAACAAACATCTCACCTTCGGCTGGTGGTTCAAATTTTTATTAGTTTATCAAAATATAAAATATAGAAATACAAAGAGGAATAAAACAATGGGAAAATAAGGGAGGGAAAGAGGAAGAGGGAAAGAAAAAAGAAAAGCATTGACTTCTGACTTTTTGGCACAGTAAAATAAATAATAACATACAACCTCAATACAACAATATACTATACTATACTATACTATACTATACTATACTATACTATACTATACTATACTATACTATACTAGACTAGACTAGACTAGACTAGAATAGAATAGAATAGAATAGAATAGAATAGAATAGAATAGAATAGAATAGAATAGAATAGAATTATGGGATAGAATAGAATAGAATAGAATAGAATAGAATAGAATAGAATAAATAGAATTATGGGATAGAATAGAATAGAATTACGGGATAGAATAGAGACTAGAGACTAGAGAATGGGAATAGACTAGACTAGACTAGACTAGACTAGACTAGACTAGACTAGAATAGAATAGAATAGAATAGAATAGAATAGAATTACGGGATAGAATAGAGAATAGAGAATGGGAATAGAAAAGAAAAGAAAAGAAAAGAATAGAATAGAATAGAATTATGGGATAGAATAGAATAGAATTACGGGATAGAATAGAGAATAGAGAATGGGAAAAGAAAAGAATAGAATAGAATAGAATAGAATTATGGGATAGAATAGAATAGAATAGAATAGAACAGAATAGAATAGAATAGAATAGAATAGAATTATGGGATAGAATAGAATAGAATAGAATTACGGGATAGAATAGAGAATAGAGAATGGGAATAGAATAGAATAGAATAGAATAGAATTATGGGATAGAATAGAATAGAATAGAACAGAACAGAACAGAATAGAATAGAATAGAATTATGGGATAGAATAGAATAGAATAGAATTACGGGATAGAATAGAGAATAGAGAATGGGAATAGAATAGAATAGAATAGAATAGAATAGAATAGAATAGAATAGAATAGAATAGAATAGAATAGAGCTGGAAGTGACCTTGGAGGTCTTCTAGTCCAGCCCCCTGCTCAGGCAGGAGAACCTATACCGTCTCAGACAAGGTGAATGTCTAGTCTCTTCTTAAAAATCTCCAGTGATGGAGCGGGTTCTCTCCCCCCCTTCGCTTCTGGGGATCCGGGCCAGCAGCAGCATCAGGGGGAGCCCAGCAGAGCTCATGGATGCCGCCCCACCAGCGCTCCCAAAGAGAGTGGGGAAAGCATGGAAGGCTCCCAGCCCCAGAGGCAGAACCGGGAGGTCTGGATTGCGGGGGAGGGGGCGTTTTCCTCGGACTTCGGAATTGGGAGGGACCAAAAGAAGGATCGCCAACCTCCAATAACGGATATGGCACAAGAAGAAGAAGAAAAGGAGGAGGAGGACCAATGGGAATTCTCCCTTCTGCAGCATCATCGGTCTCCGGGCAGAGTCTCCCTTGACTTCATCCTGTGGAGGAGAGAGTTCCACGCAGAGAGAGAAGCGGAGAAAGTGAGGGGAGGGGGACGGGGATCTTCCTTCGTTGGAAAGACCCGGGGCTTCTGCTGGCTTCTGGCTCAGTGTTGAGGGGGGAAGGGAGGCCACCTGTGGGGCGATTAAGAAGGAAGTTCTCCCCCCTCCCTTTCCGGAGAAGACCCCCCCCCAGGAGCAGATCCGGGCAGACCACGGATGACGCCTGGGCCGGCTGTGGGGAATTTAGCCTCTCGCCTGAGGCAGGAGGAAGGGAGGACACGTGGGGAGGGGGAGGACATCTGGACTGACCCTCCTGAACCCCCACCATCACTTGTTCCGCCCCAAATTTTCTTCCTCCCCCTCATCCACAGCCCAACTACCTGCCTTTGGATGATTTGGGGGGGGGGAATCACACCTGCTTCCTATCCCCCTCCTCCCAAAGACCCCCCACAGCCCTCCCAAGAGCCTCTCAAAGGGAGGGTCTCCAGCCCCCTTCATTAAAGGGGGAGTTTGGGGGAGCCAGTTTCGGAGAAGGAATTCAGAGCCCCTCCCCCTATCCTTCTCACTGAGTTCCCCTCTGTGGCTCCATCCACTCCTTCCGTTTGAGCAATGGGAGAATATGGGGGGGGGGCTTGGGGGGCTTTCTCAGTCTCCTCCCCAAATTCAGAATCTCCCCCAAGAAGGGACCGAAGCTCCACTCGTTGCCTCACATTGGAGATTCAGAAGAAAAGGTGAAGTTTTGGAAGCTCCAAAACTACTTTTGCCAAAATGCAGCTTTCCTTGTATTGTGGGTTGCGTATGTAGATTCAGGTGTGGAAATGCCTCAGTTTCCCTCTTTCCCTTTCCGCCTCCTTCCTCTTTCGAGGCAACCGACTTTGGGGGGCTTTGGAGGAAGAATAGAACAACAGAGTTGGAAGGGACCCTATAGGTCATCTAGTCCACCCCCCCTCCCAAGCAGGAGACCCAATTCTGTCAGATGGCAGTCCAGTCTCTTTTCGAAAGCTTACAGTACTTCTGAAGGCAATTTGATTGTTCTCACTATCAGAAAATTTCTCCCTTTATTTCTAGGTTGAATCTCTCCTGGATCAGTTTCCATCCGTTATTCCTTGTCCTGCCTTCAGGCGCTTTGGAGAAGAGCTTGACTCCCTCTTCTTTGGGGCAGCCCCTGAGATATTGGAACACTGCTATCATGTCCCCCCTCGTCCTTCTCTTTGTTAAACTAGACATACCCAATTCCAGCAACCGTTCCTTATATGTTTTAGCCTCCAGTCCCCTGATCATCTTTGTTGTTCTTCTCTGCACTCTTTCTAGAGTCTCAGCATCTTTTTTTACATCGTGGTGACCAAAACTGGATGCAGGATTCCAAGTGTGGCCTTACCAAGGCCTTGTAAAGTGGTATTAACACTTCCCATGATCAGGAATCTGTTAATGCAGCCTATCACTGGGTTGTATGTTTCTGCCTCCAGTCCCCTGATCATCTTTGTTGCTCTTCTCTGCACTCTTTCTAGACGTCTTTTTTTACAGTGTGGAGACCAAGACTGGTATTCATTACTTAATTTCGTGATGAGTTACCCAGTGACAAATAAAGATATTGTATTCTGTCAGTAGATAACGCGATCTCGATGGGATCCCCTCTGTTAGAAACGTAGGAAGGGCTCGCAATGACGGATCGAGCGGTTGACCATCAAGTGGATTTCAGCTCCTCGGCTGCCGTTTCCTCGGCCCGACGGAGTCCGGAGCGCGGAGATCAGCCTGGCCTGCCTGAAAGGAGCCGCTTCCCGGCTCTGCTCCCCGCGCCCGTCGCCGCCCCCTCCCTCCCTCCCTCCGGCGGGGACCCTCGCGCTCCGTCCGGCTCCTCCGTTGCTCAGCAGGGCCGGCCCCGGAGGAGGAGCCAAGCCCGGCCGGGCGCTTCCTGCTCGGCCGCAGAAGAGGGGGCGGGGGTCCTTGGGCCGCGTGGGGGAGGCGGGGAGGGACCCTTCCAGCCACCCCGTCCGCCTGCTCCGCAGCCCGGACTGCCACTGCCGGAGCCCGAGCCCGCAGGACTCCCCCGGCCCGGGTCCGCGACCCCCCTATCCGCTCCGCTCGGGAGGGAGGGAAGCGCCGCGGAAGTGCCAGACGGCGGGGAAGGCGGGGGTCGGCCCGCGCCCCCTCCCCATCGGCCGGCCGAGCCGAGGTCCGGGGGCGACGGAGGACCCCGGGAGGGGCGCGGAAGGCTTGGCCGCCTGTGGGCGGGGGAGAAGCGGGAGCGGCCGGGGAGCAACTCAGCCGCCCCCTTGCTGTCCCGGCGCTCGGAGGGGAAGCCCCCTCCCCGGCCAAGGGCCCGCCCGCGCTCGGCTTTGGGGCCCGCCGGGCTCCCTCCGTACAGCGACCCAGCAAGGAAGCGAAGCCCCTTCCCCACGACACGGCTTGCGAGGTTGGCTGGATCGAGGTCTGCTTGTGGGAAGGGTCTCCAGGGTCGGGCACCACTCTGGGATGGGGGCCCAGCACCCCAGTGAGGAGGAAGCGGACAGGGGCCCCTGGGCCCACCAGGGTGGGGGATTCTGGGAAAAAGGCCTCCGGAAAAAGAGCCTGGATGGCAAGACAAGCCACCCACGCATCGTGGATCACCGCTTAGGGGACCTCTGCCACCAGGAGGCCACGGGGCCACGGGAGCCGGGCAGCCGCCGCCTGCACATCCGAGCCCACGGGTGGCAGCAGCCGGAGAGACGCAGCAAGGCGCAGATGCTGGGCCTGGTGCTGTTGGAGCAGGTGAGACCTGGTTTGGATCCTGGTTTGCTGAAGAAATGGCCCACCGTAACAAGGCCTAAAGTGTAGTTTAAGGGGAGCAAGGCTGTTCCCAGGGGAGATGGGGGACCAGCGTGACCTTTGACATCCCCCCAAGTTTCTTTCCTTGAACTGCTTGTCTAAGGCCTCTTTTCTTTTTCTTTCTTTCTTTCCTTCTTTATTTCTTTCTTTCCTTCCTTCCTCCTTTCTTTAATTTCCCTTTCCTTTCTTTAATTTTTTTCTTTCCTTCCTTCCTTCCTCGTTTAATTTCTTTCCTTCCTTCCTCTTTCTTTCTTTCCTTCCTCCTTTCTTTAATTTTTCCTTCCTTCCTTCCTCCTTTCTTTAATTTCTTTTTCCTTCCTTTCTTTCCTTCCTTTCTTCTTTAACTTCCTTCCTCCCTCCCTTTCTTTGCTTTCCTTGCTTCCTTCCTCTCCCTCTCCCTCTCTCTTTCTTTCTTTCAGGGCTCTGAGCCATTCCTGGAGGCTGCCACTGATTCCTCCCCCTTGGAGAAGGATCTCTCCCACCCTTGCAGGAAGCCTCTCTTGGTGGGCATCAAACACGAGGAACCTCTGCTGGATCCCCCATTGGGTAAGCAAAGGATCCTGAGCATGAAGAGCTGCAGAATACCCCCCCTTTCTCCTCCTCGGGGTGTTTCTTGAGGGGCTCATCTCCCCCACTTCTTCAAGGCCTGCCTGGTTCTCCCCCTTGTAGGCAACGCAGCCATGGGCCTGGAAGCGGCTGAAATGTTTCCCCATCCAGAAGGGACAGAAACAGCAGCTGCACCTTCAGTTCAGGTAGGAGCAAAGGTCGGGGGGCACATAGAGGCTTCTGGCATGTTTTGGGGGGCCCGGAGCATGGGAGGCTTCTGGACAAAATCTCCCTCTTGGGTGACTTGCTGGGTTGAGGCAGACTCAGGTTTAAAGTTCTTTCCGTGTTTTTCTGGCCCTGCTTTTTCTTCTTCTTCTTGTGCCATATCCGTTATCGGACGTTGGCGATCATGTTGGCGATCCTGTTTTTATCAGCAGACGCACGAAAAAGTGCTGCTGAGTTTGTCCAAACCAGTCCCTTCAATTTTGAAGCCATGATGTTCTTCTTCTGCCTGGACCTCGTTAATCTTTCCCTGGAGGATTAAATGGAGTATGCCGTATTTTTCTGGGTGTCGCATCACATGTCTGAAATATTCTAATTTTTGTTTTTTAATTGTTTTGATGATTTTGCTGGGCTTTCCCAGGCAGCTTATCATCTCCTCATTTCTTTTTTTTAGACTCCCCAAATATAAAATTTATTTATTTAATTTAAGAAAATTTATATGACTGCCCAACTCATTCTCAGTGACTCCAGGCAGCTTGGAGTAATCTACTGAGCAACCGAAGTAATGGAATCAATGAAACAATAAATAACCCATCAATAAAATCTCTTAAAATATAAAAACAGAAAGGGGCAGCTGGAATATGTGACTTCTGATGATCCGTGATGAAGGGAAACACCAGCCAGGACTTTTGGGGTCACCTTGTGTGGGACCTTCCCCACGAACTGAAATGACTCCCCCTCCCCTGTCATGATGTCACCTGGCCCGGCTTTCATCATCCACGGGATGGGATGGGGGAGGGGCTAGTCATCCTCCACCACCACCATTCTGGATCAAATGGCATTTCTGGAGATAGACCCAGAGGGGATCCCATGGTGGTGGTGGTACCCAAGCATCCTCAAAAGCCCCACAAGTGTGTAAAAGAGGTGATGATGCCCCCCCCAGATCCAGTGAATCACCCACTTGCTAGGCCAAAGAGAACAGAGAACATGGAATACCAGGGCTGGAAGCGAGAAGGGCCTGGACAGCCTCACCCTTAAATCCCAGATGGCCTGTCTCACATGAAAGACCCCAACTGAGGCTTCTTGTTTTTTCTAGAGCCCCGTGTCCTTTGAGGAGGTGGCCGTGTATTTCACCAACGAGGAGTGGGCCCTCTTGGCCGCCGGCCAGAAAGCTCTCCACCGAGAAGTCATGCTGGAGAACTCGCGCAACGTGGCATCCTTGGGTAAGGCCTCTTCTCGATTCGGGGTGCCAGAATTTAGGGGTGGGTGGGAACCTGGATTGCAAGTCTTTAGCGCCTCTTGTGCTTGGACCCCCAAGAGAGGCAGCAAATCTTCCAGCTAGAAATGGAGGTTCTGGCTGGGGGACACAAAATGTCTCTCCGGCCGAGACGCTTCCTGCATTTCGGGGTCCGTTCCTTTGTGGTTGGGGGTTCCAGGAGGCCTTCGGTTTAATCCAGGCTGCCCTTTTTGGCCTCCTTGGGGTCTCCTTAGGCTGAGGTTGAGGGTCAAGGCAACCCCGACTCCATCTAGGAGAAACAGTGGCCTCTGAGGAATGTCTGTTTGTACCCAGATGCAATTCCCGGATCCACTCTTCCACATTGGAGAACACAATTTTTTCTTCGTACCTAGGGAGTTCTCAGTTCCAAAACTGAGCCCAAAATTTCTGTGGCTAATTGAGACATTTGTTAAGTGAGCTTTGCCCCATTTTATGACCTTTCCTAACACAGTTATTCAGTGAATAACTGCAGTTGTTAAATTAGTAACACAGGTTTTTTTTAATAATACAGTTAAAAAAAAACATTGGACATGACGTAACATTCCAGTAAAAACTTTTCTATCAAATTGTTTCTCTTCTTACATTTAGTTCTTTATCTCTATAAGTACATATGAGTAACACAGTTGTTAAGTGAATCTGGCTTCCCCCCCATGGACTTTGCCTGTCAGGAGGTCGCAAAAGGGAACCACATGATCCCGGGATACTGCAACGGTCATAACTGTGAGTCAGTTGCCAAGGGCCTGCAATTTTAATCACGTGACCTGCAATTTGATCACGGATGCTGCAATGGTCGTAAGTGTGAAAAAGGGTCATAAGTCCCTTTTTTCAGTGCTGTTGTAACTTCAAACGGCCACTAAATGAACTGTTTTAAGTTGAGGACTCCTATATTTGTACAAATTTTCCACAATGATCTTATAGGCTCCGAGAGAAGAGAATCTTGGTAGCTCAGAGTTGAACTGTGGAGTCCTCAGTGTGCTATGTTGATGCCGTGTGGTTGTAACTGTCTGTTGGCTGTTCCAGAGATACTGGTTAATTGTTCTGTCAGGAAGTTTCTCCTTAGTTCCAGATTGCTTCTCTTCTTGATTAGTTTCCATCCGTTGCTTCTTGTCCTACCCTCAGGCGCTTTGGAGAATAGCTTGACTCCTTCTTTGTGGCAGCCCCTGAGATATTGGAACACTGCTATCATGTCACCCCTGGTCTTCATTAGACTAGACTAGACATACCCAATTCCAACAACCATTTTAGCCTCTTTGTCACTCTTCTCTGCACTCTTTCGAGGTTGGGTTGTTACTCTGTGTTGCTTTGTGCCTGGAAGGAGAAAGTTATGGTGTCATTGTAATAATCACATGAAGTATATCATTTGTACACTATATGTGTCATTTGATTGAGGCAACTAGCCACAAATCATCGTTTGTCTGGGAGAGAAGTGGGCCACTGCGAGGTCCGGATTCTCATCCCTCAAATGTGAAAAAGTCTGCAGGGACTCGAGGGGGGGGGCAGGGGAGAGGGTGCATTCAGGCTGCGGATGGCCCACCTCTGCTCTGCAGGGGAAAAGGATTTTTAACTGTTTTGATTCAAAACTCGCCTCTAGACAAGATGGCTGACAGACAGACAGACAGACAGACAGACAGACAGACAGACAGACAGACAGGATGAATGAATGAATGAATGAATGAATGAACGAATGAATGAATCTACACCAGAGGCAAGAAAAGGGCTGATGGCATAATCTGCCTGTCAGGGAATGGCACCCCATTTGGTGTCCAAATGAAGTCAGAGACACGGACACAAATTTGTAGTTTTATAGAAATAAACATATTTAATATCTACATTTACAGCAGACAAGATAGTCAGGCGCATCCCTACATCATGAGGTAAATCACAGAACAGCAGACAGAGCACACAGAAGAAAAAAAAGGCGGGGAAAAAGGGAAACTCCCCCTTCTCATGCAGCAACCAATCATAGCACAAATTATCTCAGGCAGGAGCCCACACTCTCCAACTAATCAACTACAACTGTGTGTCCTGGCCCTTTATCCATTTTACTGTTCCAGCTATTAAGTTAAATATCTTAACGCTGCCCATTTCCAACTTCCAAACTGAGCCCCTCTTGTTTATGGATACATAGTCCTTGATTTACAACCATTCATTTAGTGACCATTCAGAGTTATAACTGAAAAAAGGGGGCTTATGACTGTTTTTCACAGAACCATTGCAGCATCCCCATGGTCACATGATCAACATTTGGACGCTGCACAACTGGCATGTATTTCTGACATTACAGTGTCTCACGGTCATGTGATGCCCTTTTTGTGCCCGTCTGACAAGCAAAGTCCATGGGGAAGCCTGATTCACTTATTAACTGTGTTACTAGCTTCACAACTGCAGTGATTCACTTAACTGTGGCAAGAAAGGTCATAAAATGGAGCAAACCTCAACTCACTTAACAACTGTCTTGCTTAGGAACAGAAATGTTGGGCTCAGTTATGATCCCAAGTCGAGGACAGAGGTGCTGCAAATAGAGGGAGGAATGTGGAAGCAGGGCCAGAGAAACATGGCATTAACAGCTGATCTGAGATCTATTAGGTTTGCCTTCTGACCGGGTTTCTATTTCTATATTTCTATATTTATTTCTATTTCTATTTCTCTCACTTTCACTTTCTATCTGCCAGCAGGAGATGGAGGGGAAGGGGGCAGCAGAAACAGCAATGTCGGCAGGTGCAGGATGTCACTGGTGGTCCCCAGCCATCCTGGGATGAAGGAGTCATGGAGAAGGCAGGAAGGAGCCAAGGAGCCGAGGGGAAACCCAAACGAGAAGCCAAAGGAGCCGCTCTCCCTGGGGGACAGTCCTCAGAAAGCACCACTGCAGCAAAGAAATGGCAGGAAGAGTGTCCCCAACCAAGCGGAACTCTGGCCAGGTCGGACAGAGCAGAAGCAGCACCGGTGCCCAGAGTGCGGGAAGAGCTTCCGTCAGAGCTCACACCTGTTGTCCCACCGGAGTATCCACACGGGCGAGCGACCGCACCAGTGCCGGGAGTGTGGGAAGAGCTTCCGTCAGCTGGCCTACCTTGCCTCGCACCGGAGAATCCACACAGGGGAGAAGCCCTTCCGCTGCCCCGAGTGCGGGAAGCGCTTCAACCGGAGCACCAACCTGACCTGCCACCGGAGGAAGCACACAGGTGAGAAGCCTTTCCTCTGCCCCATCTGCAGCAAGGGCTTCTGCGACAAGTCAGGCTTCAACCTCCACCAGCTGATCCACTCCAAGGACAAACCACACAAGTGCCTGACCTGCGAAAAGACCTTCATCCGGCGCTCGCAGCTGACCTCTCACGAGGGGATCCACACAGGCGAGAGGCCTTTTTGCTGCCCCGAGTGTGGGAAAAGCTTCCATCGCAGCTCCAACCTCACCTCCCACCGGAGGATCCACATGGGGGAGAAACCCTATGGCTGCTCCGAGTGCGGAAAGAGCTTTTACGACAAGCAGCACCTTCTGCGGCACCAGAGGAGGCACACAGCAGAAAAGCCCTTCTCTTGCACTGAGTGCGGGAAGACCTTCAGCCAGAAGAGGAACCTGGTGAGACACCAAAAGCTCCATAGTGGGCCAACACCGCCTCCGTCCTCGCAGTGGACAAAGAGGTTCTGTAACAAGCGGCAGCCACGGAGGCATCCAGACACTCACGGGAAGGAACGAGGACCCTTCATGTCCTGGAGTGTTGAGGTGGCATCTGATGGAGTCCCAGTCCTGCTTCCCTGCCAAGAATTCGCACATGGAGATCAGTATGTCACAATTTCTCAGATCAAGTGACAGTTATTATTGCTCCATTAGTCTTTGGTTCAACAATTTCTCCTTTTTAAAAATCTCTTGCCAGTTAGAGCAGGGGGTTGGACTAGAAGACCTCAAAGGTCCCTTCCAGCTCTATTCTGACTGATCATTTGTGCCTTAATTCTGTGCTTACAGTCCTGGCACGCTTGGCTGACAGCAGTGCTGAGCGTGGTTCTTTCAACTCAGCTGTAGACATAAGAAGATTCATGCTGGAGAGATCAAGAACTCTCATATATTCTAATTCCCTCCCTTTCTCACATGTACTGTGTATCTATATCACTCTGGGTGGTGTGCAACACTCACAATTGGTACCAATGCAATTATAAACTCTAGACAGGCCAAAAATGCAGACTTAAAAAATAATGTGAAACGGCCAAAGGAAGTCACAAAATCTGCAAGGCAGGTTGACCACACAAGAAGTTGTACAATTGGCACTTAACGACTGCTTTGCTTAATAACGAAAATTCTGGTCCAAATTGTGGCCGTAAGTCAAGATCTGCCTGTACTTGGGTCAGATGATGGAGATCATATCTCTGTCCTGGAGATCAACGAAGCCTCCAGTTGAGGGGAAAGGAAATTGCAAAGCCAGGAAGTGCAAACACAGAGCAAGTACTTTGCCTCTCCGGACCAGGCCACCATCTTCCACTCGTGAGCAAAAGAGGCTAGTGTCTTCCCACTATGTGAACTAGGTAGATATTTTTTGGGACAGCACAATATGCAGATCTGACACAATAGCCTCGATGCAAGGGTTGGCGTTCTGTCGAGCTTCTCGTCTTGAGGACTCAGCGCCACACCCGGAGTCCCCAAGATGAGCTCAGGGAGAGACCAGGCCGCCAGGGTGGGAATCCATCTACAGAGTTGGAGATGAGGGATATTCTTCCCTTTTTCCATGCTGGAATTCTCCATGGTGGAATTCACTGGGTGATCCTGGGTTCAAGTCTTCCTCTCCCAATTGAAGATCACGCTAAAAAGCAGTACAGCTGCAATTGCTCCTAATCATTCTGATTAGCCATTTTTTTTGTGGAGTTTTTCCAGTCGTAAACATTTTGTATAATAAACAATTACATTCGCAAAATGGGCATTTTCAGTTCTTTTTTGTAAATATTCTTCCAAATAGAACTGATCCTTTCTCACAACTCCATGCTGGTGGGGGTTTCCCTTCATATACAATATGGCCAAGTGTCATTCGCAGTAGCGAACAGTCTGTAAAGTTGCTGTGAATGTTAGCAACTTTTGAGACCTCACTTGTGAACGTGGGCATCGAGTGATGTAAATATTTTGCCGCTCTGCATATCCGCCAATCCCTGTGACGTCGTTGCAAGTATCGATTTTGCCATTACTGTAAAAATATTTTTCCCAAGTTTTTTTTATTAATTTTCCAATATTACATTTACATATTTGAAAAGTAGTGTGGCGGCTGAGCACAATAATTCCATTCTTTCTTTTTCTTTCTTTCTTTTCTGTTTTTCTCTGTCTCCTTTGTCTTTCTTTTTGTCTCTCTCTCCTGTCTTTCTGTTTCTTTTTTTCTTTCTTTCTCTGATCTCTCTGTCTTTCTCTCTTTCTCCCTGTCTTTTTCTTTCTTTCTTTCTTTCCTTTGTCTCTCGCTTTCTTTCTTTCCTTTCTTTCTCTGTCTCTCTGTCTCTTTTTTTCCCTTTCTTTTCTCTCTCTCTCTCCCTCCCTCCCTCTCTCCCCCCTCTCTCTGGTCAGTCACTAAACAAATGGTTGTAAGTCAAGGACTACCTGGAGTGTGACCTCAGAAGGATGGAAGGCTGAGTCAACCTTGAGCCAGTGAGATTTGAACTGCCGAACTGCTGGCAGCCGGCAGTCAGCAGAAGTAGCCTGCAATACTGTGTTCTAAGCACTGTGCCACCAATGCTCTTCATGGCCTTGATGGAAGATGTTGTTGGGGGAAAAGAGTGGGGGAACTCCAAATCTGTGGGCTGTCTTTCCTGATTCCCCCCCCCCACACACACTTAATACAAGTTCTGGCAAAATGATAGCAGCTGTCTTCTGCCTACCAACATCACAAATCAAGCACTGGAGAAGACAAACTGGGATACTTGATGGATGTAAAAAAATCAAGAGGAATCTGGTTGTACCTGACTAACAAATTGTACTTGTAGGTCTTTAAACAAAATTGGTTCATGGGAAAAGGTACAATGAGAACCTCTTGGATTTTTGTGAAGTGTCCCACAAAGAAGGAGTCTGCCAGTCTCGATTAAGTCCTGAATCAACCATTACAAGTTGGGGTACATCCTGCTAACAGCAGGGTGGAAGCTTTCTTTTGCAGCCCCTCGGTCAAATTTAGCCCCCTTTGAGAAATCCCTGCTCCTTCGTGGTTTTTTCCTCCCTGATTCTCTCTCCACCTGGGCCCTGCTCATCAACCACTCCCCTCCTATGAGGGTCTGCCTGGGGAGGGGTCCCACCATTTTCTTGCACATCTCCTCAAAAAGGTTATTTATTTCAAAGTTTCTGTATACAGTACTCGGTACTCATCATTTGGTTCTGGGAAGTACGACAAATACTAAAAACTATGAATACCAAACAAACCACATGATTATTCCCTCTATATTGTGTTTTTATTCTCTGTAAGCTATTTAGAGTCGCCATGAGTGAGTAGGCAGCTATATAAATTTTCCAAAATAAATAAAATAAATTAGAGCATAACCTTTTGTTTTCACCAAAAAGGCTAGCAAGTCATGAGGTAATTGTCATTGACAAGTTCTAGCTTGCACATGAAGTACCAAACAACAAGTACCGGGACTAAATTTTCACATCAAAATGTGTTGAGTACCAAATTCCATGAGTTTGAAAGCAGTCCAGTACCAAGATACCACTGTATTCTAATCTTTTTTCCCATCTCTTTTTTCCACAGCAATCATGAATTAATTGTTCTATTCCTGTGATCATGTGCAAAAATACATTTGTTTTGTTTTTGCTGCTTGCCAAATCTTCATCCTCCACTGTTTCCGTCAGGGATGCAAAGCTACATGATCCGAAGTGATGAACTGACAAGAGAAGAACTGCAGCCTGGACCCTTAGGACCTCATGGACACTGAGAGCTGCAAGGGTCCCTGGAGGTCTTGTGTGAGGGTCCATCCGCTGGTCCAAATGGCTGTCCAGTCAGGGCTTGGAAGCCCCCCGTGATGCAGCCCCTTATTTGGATCTCTCCTGCATATCTTCCATCCACTGTTCTTCCCTTGGGAGCTATGGGGAATAAATCCACCTTGTCTGGCCCCGACAGCTCTTTAAACCAGCCAATGTTATGTGTTGTATTGTGTCATTGTACCAAGAATTGTGTCAGGAGGAGTTATCACAAGATTGATGAAAGTACTGATGGGTTTGTTGGAAAGAAGGCATGTCTGGAAAACAAGGACAGCTTCAATTTGTATTGATCTTTTGAGAGCACACCAAGCTCGGTTCCCCTCAAATATTTAAAATAAACCAACAGAGTCATTGTTTTTCTTTTATGAAATTATCTCTCTTTTAGCCTTGTGGTTCTTGCGGGATCAGGATGGATTTAGCATCCCTGGGCATGCTTGCAAACTTTCAACAGGAGGAAACTGAATATGCAGGAACTCTCATTTATTTTTCCATTTCCAGGGTTTTTACACTGCCCCGCTCAAGGGGACGCCTGGTTGTTTAGAGTCGACAAAATTGAGGCATGTTGAATAAGTGCTTTTCAAGAAGTGCCTTTGGCTCTGCAACAAAGGCAGGTCCTCTCTCCATCTTCCATGTCCTGCAAAGGGACCCCGCTTTGAGATTCTGCTTCCCCATTCAACAACTTTTGGGGATTCGGGGGTGAAGGTGCATTCTTCAAGCTTGTGGGTTGGTTTCTGACTATTTCATTACCAGGCTAGGTAACATCTTCAGCAGAGTTTAGGGGATGTCTGTGTCAGCGCTCTTCTGTTTATAAGGGCTTCAGGTGTCGGTGTGTCAAGTGGAGGTCTTGTGATGGGTAAGGTATGAGTCGTCAATGAGAGACTTGTGATGGGTCTTGTGATGGGTAGGTTACTTCAGGTCAGGGTTTTAGGAAGGTGAACTGCTAGTGGTGGGGAGGGGGCTTGTGTGGGATGGTTGAGGGTTGATGCTGTTTCTGGTTGGCTGTGTGGTTGATTTGGATTCTGAGGGCTTAGTAGGCTGTTTTGTAGGTTGATGTGTCTGTTGATGGAATTGCTTGTGGAGTGCCAGGTTTCGATGAACTCCCTAGAGTGACGGGTGGTAGCGTGGCCGATGGTTTTGGTGTTGTTCCAATCAAACTGATGTTGTTGGGTGTCGGTGTGGGTAGAGATTAAGGATTTGGGATCATGGCGTTTGACTGCCAGCCGGTAATCATGGATCCTTGTTTTTAATTGACGTGATGTTTTTCCGACGTAGAATCGGTTGTAATCGTTAGTTGATCTTCAGCAGTCTTTCCTCCTGATCAGGCAAAATCTGCATTAACTGGCTTACTTCAGGCCCTGACTCCTGGAAGAGGTTGAGAAATGGCTTTCCCCACCTGAGAGGCTTTAAGCATGGGGTGGACGCCAATGCCCATGGCTGACTGGGGAATTATGGGACCCCAACTGGCATGGCTGACTGAGGCATTACGGGACTCCCCGAATTCCCTGATCAGACATGGGAGTCGGAGTCCACCCATCTTGAAGTCACTCACCCAGAGAAAGTTGTCTTAGACCAGGCACGTCAAACTTAGACCAGGCCGGATGCGTCACTCTGAAACCATGCCCACCCCATTGCCAGCAATGGGGAAAAAGTCGTGATACATTGTGCAATGTCATGTGACATCACGAGTTTGACATGCCTGTCTTAGAAGCTGCCCTCCTCAGGTAGCGATAGGGTTGGGGAGCTGCCAATCAATGCAGCATGACGAGGCCCCTCCTCCCTCTATATATACTGGTGCTGGGCAGGGCAGAGGCCAGAGGGTGCCGAGTAGTGAGGTGGGAAGGTTTATGGATGTGGGATATGGATTGTTATTATTAGAGGGAATCCTTGTTAAGGTACAAGATAAAAGCTAATTTGATTCCTGGCTTCCAGCTGAAGTTGGCTATTCCCCACCATCCACCTCTTTGGGCCACCTCAAGCAGATAATAATGCTTCATTTTTATCCCATTTAAAGTTACCTCATATGTGGCATATGTACTGTATATATAATGCCATATTATCTTGTCTCTATAAGGTTCCCTGCTGTTTTTTTTACCTCAGGTTACCTCAGCAATATAATAGAGATTACCTCAAACGGAGGCCCGAGAAGGGCAGTCAGAATAATATTGAACTCTTTCGTGAGGTAAAATTTTCCCGAAAATTGACCTAGGCACCCAGAAACGCGGAAGAAACAAAGAGTCTGAATAATAATTTCAAGTTATTACTTTGATTAGTCTGTTTCTCAGGCTGGGCTGAGATCAGGAAAGCCAAAATGGAGCCGTTCGAGCCGCCATCTTTATTTTTTTGACCTCCGAGAGGGGTAGAAGATTCCGGCGTAGCCTTCATTGCGGGAAGGTGGGCATAAGAGGATCGCGGCGCGGAGGACCCCGAGAGGCCCCTTATTCGCATGTCGGCGCTTTCCGAAGACTCGGGAGGCGGAGCAAGAAGACGTTGAATGGCTGACGGAGGAATTCTGGGAGTTGAAGTCCCAGAAAGCGGTTGTGTGTGGGAGGGGTTGGAGGCGCAAGGCAGCGCGCGGGCGTCGGCGGAGGGGCCGGACTTAAAGGCTGCTCCGCCCCGCCTTCCTCGTCGGCAGCTGGGTAGCCCGCGCGTTCTCGTGTCCGGAGTTGGGAGCGGGCGCGCGCAACGGCGGCGGCGATGGCGGCTCCGGGGGTGGCCGCAGCGGAGGAGGTTTCCACTGAGAGGCTAGCGGAGGTGGAGGCCCTGCTGGCGCAGCGGGTATCGGAGCCGGTGCGGGCGCGCTGGCGCTGGGAGATCAACCTGGGCCAGCCCAACCTGCAGCGGTTCCGGGCGCAGCTGAGCGAGGCCCGGCGGGGTAGGGAGACGCTGCTGGCCCGGGACGCGGCGCTCTCGGAGGCGGAGCAGCAGCGGCTCCAGGGCTTCCTGAGGCTGGAGATGGCGCTGCTCCGCTGGTTCCAGGCGCGCGGCGAGCGCGAGGCGGCCCGGCGGGCCCGGCGGAGGAAGCCCAGCGGCGGTGCGGGGAGAGCGGCCGCGTCTTCCGCGGGCGGCGAGGGATCTGCTGCAGCGCCGCCGGCCCGGGCGAAGGAGGAGGAGGAGGAAGCGCCGAGCAAGGACAAAGAGCCGCCGGGCCCGCCGTCGATGCCTTCCGAGCCAGCAGCCGCAGCCAGGACGACTTCGGTGGGGAAGGTGGCGGCTCTGCGGGAGGCGCTACTGAGCGTGGTGACAGAGCTGGAGGCGGCCGAGGGCCGGGGGCGGCCGGTGTGGGCGGCGCGGAAGCTGGAGACGGCCCTGGCGGCGTTCCTGGACGACCGGCTGTGGGAGAGCCTGCGGGAGCTAGGCCGGGCCGTGCGGAAGGAAGGGCGCGCTCGGGTCCGGCAGCTGCTAGCCCTGCGGGAGGTGCTGGAGGAGGAAGGTTGGGCCGAGAGCGCGGAGGCGCTGCGGAGGGAGCTGGAGGAGCTGAGGACTGGCCTGCGGGATGTGCCGCTGGAGGAGCTGCAGCCGCTGCTGGAGAAGGCAGAGGCGCTGCTGCGGAAGACCGACTGCTGGGAGGTGGCCTGCCTGGAGAAGGGCCTGTGGGCTGGCCCTCTGGAGGAGGCCGAGGCTGCCAGGAGAGAAGCCGAAGCCCTGCGACAGACCCTCCGGCGGGTCCCCTTGGGGCAGGGCGAGGCAGCCCTGCAGAGGGTTGGGCAGGAGGCGCCGGTGAAGGAGGCGCATCTCCTTTGGGAGAAGGCAGCGGCCCTGGAGACGCAGGCCCTGGCCTTCTGGTCAGACACACTGAAGCGGGCGGAGGAGATGCTGGACCAGGTGGATGCCCTGAGGAGCACCCTGCAGAACTCCTCTCTAAAGGAGGCCCTCTGGGAGAAGGTGGAGGAGCTGCGGGATGCCTTGCGGGAAACTACCAGGGAGAAGGTGGGCCTCCTGCCCTTGGACCTGTGGGGTAAGAGCCCGCGGGAGATGTGCAGTCGCCTCCACAAGCTCTGCCGGGATTGGCTGCAGCCGGAGAAGAAGACCAAGACTCAGATGCTGGACCTGGTGATCCTGGAGCAGCTGCTGGCCGTGCTGCCTACAGAGATGGCCAGCTGGGTGCAGGAGTGTGGAGCAGAGACCAGCGCCCAGGCAGTGGCCCTGGCTGAAGGCTTCCTGCTGAGCCAGGCGGAGAAGAAACAACAGGAAGAGTTGCAGGTGAGGGGACATCCTCCAAAGCTATGCATTAATCAAGAGTATCTTTGAATTGAGCATTTTCTCCGTTCCCCCCCCAGAATATGTATTTGGGGCACTTGCTCCATTGTTCCATCTTCATCAAGAGTCAACGGTTCTGCAAAGTTGAGAGATTTTATCTGAAACCTTATTTCTCTTTTCAATCCTCCTGGTATTTCAGGTGCAAAAGCCCTTTCTGGAGGCCATCCCCAGACATCCTAAAGGGAGGAAGGATCTACCAGATGCCTCTCAAGAGCTGCCTTTCAGGGGCATCCCCCAAGAAGATCCAAGTTGGGACACTTCAGGAGGTAAAGGGAGCCTTTCCAAGGGACCTGACGGTCTCAAGAAATGTCTTGTTGGTCTCATGGTGTCTGAGTCCTTCACGTAATATTTTAAAAGTCTGCTTTAGCTCTATGTAGGTCCCATGCAGAAAATTAAATTATGCCCATGTTGTTTTTAGGATTGTCACCTTTTCCTGGTAGAACTGAAAGAGTGGCTGAATCTCCATCTCAGGTAGGAGAGAAACATTTAAGGGATCACTTGGAGTCCTCTTTCCCTCTGGGACTCAACAGCGTTGCTGCTCTTTAAGCAGCCTGAAATGGAATGTGGCAGAATTGGTTAGGAGATCTCTTTCAAGTCATGCTCTTGTCAACTGGCACAGGGATCCAAGAGTAATACCACCCTGGAGGGTGGCTGGAGGATTTTCCCTCCATTTTTTAAATTCTTTAATCTTGTCTTTTTTGTATGGATTGCATAGTTTGTTATCTGTAAACAGCCCAGATTCACTTTAATAGTAAAGATGTATAATTTGGGTTAATAAATAAATCATACCAGACAAAAAAAATCAGAAAACAATATTCTAATCCAGGAACTATAAAAGAGAAAACCACCCTCCTCCGCCATCCAACACTGGCGGGGCAAGCTACTGTATAAAAACAGAGAAAACCTCAGACTCACTTGGGTTGATGATGTTGTCTAGTCAGGTAATAAAATGTCTGCTAGCAAACCACCAAGCTCTCAACACTGAGCTACATATATTCTTTTCTCTTAGATGATAATTTGTACAAAATCTTTGGGGAATTTGTTGAACAAAGGGTATGAGTTGCAAAGCCTTCCTGGACTACTAATGGAGAAAAGTGTGTTTTTTTTTAATTTCCCTTTTCCAGGGTCTTGTATCCTTTGAGGAGGTGGCTGTGTGTTTCTCCAAGGAAGAGTGGATTCAGTTGGATCCCCGTCAAAAAGCCCTCCATGGGGAAGTCATGAGGGAGAACTTGAGGAATGTGGCCTCTCTAGGTAAGGGCGCAGGCATGTAGAAAAGGCATTTTGTGGTCCCATGAAAGCAGCTCTTTGACATAAACCCAACCACACTTTATATCTGGGAGAGAGAGAAGATCCATTCTACAAAAATTCTCCTCTACTGATTCCAAGACACCTTACACTGAAGCACAGAGTGGTTGAGGGACAGTGCTGGAGGCAGAAACGGGCCTATAAAGGGGTGTGGGGACTACAGTGTCCCTTTGTTGACTAATTCAAATTAATCCTTGTGATTGGACAGAGCAAGCTGGATACAGCAAATTATATGCCTAGTGAAGTCAGATGTAACTATGAAGTTATGGGGCTGGATTATATAGACATAGTGTTTTTAATAGATCAAAGGGATACTTTCTTCCTAGGGGATTACTATTTTCTGCTGTGCAGAGCTCTATGTGCCTTTCAGGATCTTTTCTTGGCTGGTAAAACATTCCTTGGCCTTTTTGGTGTTTTATGGCTGAGTTGAAAGTTTTAGTTTTCCTAGGAAAGTGTCTTTTGTAGTGAAAGTAAAATCCAATTTGATACCACGTAGTGACCAGTGCTTTGTTTGTCTTGTAAACATTCATTGAGTTAGGGTTTTAGGGGTTTTTTTTCTATTTGAAACCAAGAACTTGAATGTGTGGGAAAATGTATGTAGTGCAGAATAAAGATTAAATCATGGATAGGAAGAGGCAAATATACTAATCCACTGTGCACTATTGGTCTAGAACAGCGGCTCTCAACCTTTTCTGTACCCTGCACCCCTAGAATGCTTCTGATATATTCTCGCACCCCTTACAAAAATTCGAAATAACGGCAATGAATTATGCATATATACTATAATTTTGAAAACCCAAGTTTTTGTACCCCCTGGAATATCGTCTTGCACCTCCAGGAGGTGCGAACACCCCTGGTTGGGAACCGCTAGTCTAGAATGAATGGCTTTTAAAATTGTTTTTACTACCCATAAAATATAAATTTCTATCCCATGCAATTTTATACAATATTATAAAATTGTTTGGAATCTGCAACAGGTCTCTAAATTCGATAAGCTTTAAGTCAGATTGTTTCCTTTTGGTCAGAATAGCCTATATAACTACTACAGAGGTTTTTGCAGTATTTGGGGGGGTTGGGATCCTCAATCATGTCATATGTTTTGGTGATTTATTTCCTCCTTTTAGTTTAAATACACACTTATTTTCTTTTTCTCTGAAGATGCTGTTGGCCAAGAGAATGTGGGCTATAGGCAAATACTAGAAGCTCTCAGACGCAAAGAAAGAAGAGACCAAACGGAACTAAAAAATCATGAGAGATACCAGTCAAAGGATGGGAGCAGAAAGTATTCCACTTTTCAGTGCGATGAAATTCAAGACGGAGCAGCCCCGCACATCCCTAAAGGAAAAAGGACAAAGTGTTTTGGGAAAAGTGTGAAAACATTTGGAGAAAATTTAGATTTAAAGGAATATGATCAAAGCCACGCTAAAGAAGAGGAGGATCAGGACAGGGAAGATGAAAAAAGTTACAGTTGGACTTTCATTCTTTCATTGCGTGACAGAATCAACATGGGGGAGAAACCCTACAAATGTAGAGAGTGTGGAAAGAACTTCAGGAGCAGCAGCCAGGTTACTTCCCATAGGAGAATCCACACGGGGGAGAAACCCTATAAATGCCTGGAGTGTGGGAAAAGCTTCAGCTGGAGCAATGACCTGACTTGCCATAAAAGGATCCACACGGGGGAAAAACTTTATAAGTGCTCTGAGTGTGGGAGGAGCTTCAGGAGGAACAGTCAGCTTGCTTACCATAAAAGACTCCATGCGGGAGAAAAACCGTACAAATGCATGGAGTGTGGAAAGAACTTCCTATGGAGCTATCAGCTTACTTCCCACAAAATGATCCACACAGGGGAGAAACCCTATAAATGCCCTGAGTGTGGGAAGAGCTTCAGGAGGAGCAGTGAACTGACGTCCCACAGAAGGATTCACACCGGGGAGAAGCCTTATAAATGCATGGAGTGTGGGAGGGGTTTCAGGGGAAGCAGTGAACTGACCTCCCATAGGAGGGTCCATACGGGAGAAAAACCGTATAAATGCATAGAATGTGGGAGGACCTTCAGGAGGAACAGCCAGCTTGCTTACCATAAAAGACTCCACTCGGGAGAGAAACGGTACAAATGTATGGAATGTGGGAAGAACTTCTTCTGGAGCTATCAGCTTGCTTCACATAAAATGATCCACACAGGAGAGAAGCCATATAAATGCACAGAGTGTGGGAAGAGTTTCAGAGGCAGTCGTGAGCTTTCTTGCCATAAAAGGATCCACACATTGGAAGAATTGCACAAATGTTTGGAATGTGGAAAGGCCTTCAGGAGCAGAAATGAGCTCACTTCCCATAGGAAAATCCATCCAAGGGAGAGACCATACATATGTATGGAGTGTGGAAAAAGCTTCTCTTGGAGTTCTCAGCTTACTTCCCACAAAAGGACTCACTCGTGTGAGAATCCATATAAATGCGTGGATTGTGGGAAGAGTTTCAGGGAAAGTAGTGAATTTACTTCCCATAAAAAGATCCACTTGGGCGAGAGACTGTATAAGTGTATGAAATGTGGAAAGAGCTTCAGAAGGAACAGCCAGCTTTCCTGCCATAAGAGAATCCACACAGGGGAAAAACCATTCAAGTGTGTGGAATGCGGAAAAAGCTTCCGTCAAAGCAGCCACCTCATTTCCCATAAAAACATCCATACAGGAGAGAAACCCTATCAATGCATGGAATGTGGGAAGACCTTCAAGAGGAGCAGTGAACTCGCTTCCCATAAAAGGATCCACATGGGGGAGAAGCCATATGAATGAATGGATTTTCAGCAAGAGCAGTACCCTTGCTTCATATGAAGGGTTCAGACAGAAGAAAAACCCTATAAATGTGTGGACTCCAGGAGAACCCCAGAGAAGCAGGCAGTTTCCCTAGACTAGACTTGCCTGGTTTTTTTTATGCATACCTTGTCTTCTTGGTATGAACTAAAAAAACATACTCTGAGTCATGACTCCTTGCTACCTTAAGCCTGATTTTTGCCAAGACCTGAAACCAACAGCCACAAGAAAGAATTAATTTACTGGGGGAAGATTTCTAACAATAGGGGTAGGCAGTTTTACATAAGATGAATGGGCTTTTGTCATACTAATGTGCCAACACTGTTGCACCAAAAAGAATACTGTGCTTTAGTTTATGCTTTATAATGTTCACAGTCTCAGATGTTTTGTCACCAACATATAGAATTCAAGTAATCCTCAATTTATGACCCCAATTGGGATCAGAATTTCCATTGCCAAGCAAGGAAGTTGTTAAATGAGTTGTGCTCAATTTTATGACATTTTTTTTTGCCACAGTTGTTAAACTAGTCACTGCAGTTGTTGAGTGAAATGTGGTTTTTAAGTGAATCCGGCTTCCCCCATTGACTTTGTTTGTGGAAGCTGGTGAACTCATGACCCTAGGATACTGTAGCTATCATGAATACATGCTGGTTGCCCAGTGCCCAAATCTTGATTATGTAACTATGGGGATGCTGATGACTCTTAAGTATGAGGACCAGTTGTAAATCACTGTTTTCAGTGCCCTTGTAACTTTAAAGTTTTAAACCATTGCTAAACAAATGATTATAAGTTAAGGACTATCTGTATGGTAAACAAGCAGAGTGAACTTTAATATTCTAATACAGAAGGGCAAATAAGTTTGTCACTGGCATCTCTAAAACTTGGTGGAATGACAACTATGATTGGTGTATAGCTTTGGAAGACAGCAACTTATTAAAAGGGAATAATGTCAGCAAAATGGAATCTAACTGTACATTGAAGGAATATGGCTGCGCACAGGTTCTCTGATTAAAGCATGAATTCTGTTGAGAGTGGGCAAAAGTAAAATCAAAGAAATGGAACTGATTGTAATTCTCAATAAACCATCTGGGAGGCAGAATATATGGGCAAGGACTTTTGATGTCAGGTGACCAAACTTTACCAGAGGCACATCATAGTAATTACAATTTCAGCTACTCTGACAACTACTGGAATTCTAATTCTGTTCAGAATTGGAAGATTCCTCCTCTCTTGTTGATGACTTCAGAGAAGGGATAAGGGGATCTGCTCTCAACCTAATAGTTTCCAATAGGGGAGACAGCTAGAAGTGAAGACGGATGGATCCTGGAGGAAAGCGACTATATTATCCCTGAGTTCTTGATATTAAGGGAAGGAGGGACGGAAAAGAACCAGAGTTTTCGTGCTGGACTTCAGAAGAGTGGATCAGATCCAGGGTCATGAACAAGAGGATAGGAAATTCTGCAGAAGAATATGTTGAAGGCACAATAACAGAAGGAGATATGGTAGACTTTCAAAGATGCTCTAGCATTCTATAAATGCTAGAAGGAAAAAGGGGGAGAGAAATCCATGTTCAAACGAGTGGGGTGGTTCCTGTACATCAAGGTGTGTGCTCTGGAGCAAGGAATCTGGAAAGGATCTCCTTTAAGGGGCACATAAGGTACAGGGTGGAAGAACAATTCTTAGGCAAGAAATCCATTATAAATTATAACTTGTAAATGAACAATCACCAAGTAAACAAATGTTGGAAGGAATTACATATACAGAGTCTCTTGCTTGGGCAATGAGTTGGACTAGAAGACCAATTTCATACATTCCCCTTGGAAGACAGCGTTCAGGCACCTGGAGATTGGACAACAGGAAAGGTACCAATTGCAGGAAAAAAAAACCCCCAGACTTCTAGAAAAAAAGAAGGCAAGTGTTGGTGATAGGCGATTCATTGCTCAGAGGAATCGAACCAACAATTTGTAGAATGAACCACCAAACTAGAGCGATTAGGGTGTCTTCCAGGAGCAATTATCAAAGATGAAAGTAATGGGCTTATTAAAATAATTAGGTCCACAAATTATTATTCCTTTCTCCTCTTTCATGTGGGGATGAATGATACAACAAAGCCCCTGGAAACAATATCAAGAGATTATGAGCAACTAGGCATGAAAGCCAAAGAGATGGGGGCACAGGTGGTGGTCTCTTTCATACTCCCAATGAAAGATAGGCATCCAATGAGAGAATGCAAAACCTTAGAAGTAAACCCCTGGCTTAGGGTATGGTGCTGTTGAAAGAACTTTGGATTCTTGGACCATGGTCAGCAATACCTACATGAGGAGCTTCTGGCCAGAGATGAACTACACCTCACAGGAAAGGTCATCTTTGGAAACCAACTGCTACTTTATCCGAAGGGCTTTAAAATAAAACTGAAGGGGGAAGGAGATAAAGTTTTAGAAGCTAATTTCAAACTCAAATCTCAGGGCAATCAATCAAATGGAAAGAAAGAAGGGAAACTCAGACACAAAATGTAGGGTTAGTCAAAAAGCACTCAGAAGCCTATACAATAATGCTCAAAGTCTGATCAACAAACGGTGAATTTGATATCCTAGTATATGAGAGCAATTGTAACATTATTGTCATTAACGAAACTTGGTGTAATAAAGCCCATGACTGGAATGTACAGCTAGAGAAATTTTAACTGTTCAAAATAAACAGATCTAATAAAGGAGTGGAGTTGCACTATATCTAAAAATTCACTACGGCTCTATAGAAATGCAACAAAACAAGGATGAAAACCTTGAATGCATTTGGATCAATATAAAAGGAAAAAAGAATTGCCATTGCCATAGGTCAGTGGTGGCGACCTATGGCACGGGTGCCAGAGGCGGCACTCGGAGTCCTCTCTGTGGGCACACATGCCATTGTCCCAGCCTTGCCTCCAGCCGTGACCCCCTCCTCACCAGCAGCCTCCCTGGAGGAGAGTTGCCCCTGAGTATGGCCCACGCAGAGCAGTGCAGCCAAGGACATGGCAGCCAGGCAGCATAGACAAGATTCTACCCTCACGCCCCAACGTGCACAGTTGATGCTGCGGGGTGTGGGCAGAGGATGTGGCCGCCGTGGCGCTGCTGGGCTACCTGGGTGATCTGCGGTGGGCCCTGGAGGCGGTGAGTGGCCCTTCAGGCAGGCAGGGTGGGGCGGGGCAGGGGGCGGAGCAGGGGCGGGGCCAGTTTTTGGGCACTCAGTCTCTAAAAGGTTCACCATCACTGCCATAGGTGTATATGCTACAGGCCACACAAACAGGAAACAGATGGACTTTTTGCTAGTCAGTTAACTAAGGTATATAGGAAGCCCACCACAATAGTAATGGGGGATTTTAACCACCCTGACATCAAGTGGAAGACAAACTCTGTACCTAGTGAAAGATCAAACAGATTCCTGACATTTCTAGCAGACAAACTTTGTCTCCCCAAAAGCAGAGAACTAGAGAGTCAACCATACTGGTTTAATTCTCACTTATGGAGATGAAATGATAGATGGGGTTGAAGTTACAGGAACTCTGGTGGAGAGTGACCATGCTATATAATGAATTTGTCATGGTTCCGATAGATGAAACCCATCAAAAGAACTTCAAGGCAAGAATTCTTCCTTAAAAAATATTTTATTCAGGAAACAAAGTCTCGGCACTACATAGTTGAACCCAAAACTAAATTCCCTTCTCCCAGATACAAAGTAACAAATTGCAATTCCCATCCCCAATAAGCAGTCATAAATCACATTCTCCAATTAGCCTGAAATGCGGGCTTTCTCTCCAGCTCCTCAGCCCGCCAAAACGTTATCAGTTCGTCCTTGAGTTCCCACTGAGCAGCGTTATTATTATGGCTAGCTGAGCTCAAGCATTCACCCCAACCCCCCTTCTACACCTGATTTCTAAATAGAAGAAAAACATGTTAAAAGCAAAGCAGAAATGGCCCAGGAGGGATCCCTGCAGATTCTCTTCCTCTCTTCCTGGTTTAGCTGAGGGTTTTCCTTCGGATTGGAGTGTGTGTGTGCGTGCGTGCGTCTGGGTGCATCAGGGTATCTGGGTGTCTAGGTGACCCTCCCAAGTCCTGGCTGGCTGTGGGGCTGCCCTCCCCTCTTGTCATCTAATGCTGGGGGCTTCCTTCCATACTGAGCGGGGGGGGGGAGCCCAGAGCCTCAAGCTCTGGCTCCACTTTTCCCTTCCGGAGTCTCGGCAGCTCCAGCCTGGGCTCCCTCTGGGCCCTGTGGGAACCAAAAGGGCATCTAGTCCACCCCTCCAGGTGCACAAAGAAAGGAAGACTGGGTGAGAATCGTGCGGTGGGGGGCGCAAAGGGAAATCCACACTCCCCTCCGGAGCTGGCAAGGAACAGCGCCCCCCCCAAGACTGAAAGGATCCCCCTTCCACTTTCTCCGCTTGTCTCTGCTTCGAACTTCCTCCCCAATCGGGTGAAATCAAAGGAAGTTACCTTCTGGTAGGTGATTCAATTATAAGGGATGTAAATTTAGGAAAGGACACAGAGGCTTCGAAAGAGGTCAGGTGTCTTCCAGGTGCTACTGTCAGTAGGGACAAGAAACGTATTTCTAAAATAATTAAGAATGGCAGCAGGGGCTGTGATGTGGAGGCTATTGTACATCTTGGCACTAACAATCTGTCCCAAAAAGATGTACTCTCTGTGCAGAATGATTTCCAGAGCTTGGGGAAGGAACTTAGCAGAATAGGCTGTAGGCTTACTTTCTCAGAGGTTTTACCAGTGTATAAGGAGCAAAATGGAAAAGGCCAGCGCATAGCACAATTCAATATGTGGCTAAAGGAATGGTGTAAAGGGGAAGGCTTTGGATATATTAGTCACGATGTCTGTAGCTGGTCCAATGAAAAGATGTACAAAAGAAATGGTTTGCATCCATCAAAGAAAGGGACTGAGTTACTCAGCTATAAATTCACAGATTTTCTGAAGGAAAATTTAAACTAAACAGCGGGGACAGTGAGTTAATTGATACAGAACAACCCTGTCCCCGGCAATCTAAAAATTATAGGGCTACCAGTGCATGTAGCATAGATGTGTGTGTGGACAAGAATACCAACCTTGCT